GCTTTTTTCTTTTTGCTTATGTGGTGCTGAGGAATCGAACCCAGGGCCTCAGGCATGCAAGGCAAGCGCTCTACCACTGAGCTACCTTCCCAGCCCTGGTCTTAGTTTTTGATCTTCTATTTCTACCTCCCAAGTAGCTGAGATTATAAGTGCAAACTACCATTCCTGGCTTTGCTATAATTGTTTTTTAGTGATTGCTCTGGTTATTAGTATTTATAGATATAGTACATCATGTTTTACTGGTATTAGTATTTATCCCCTTGAGACAAAGATTTTGGTTTGTCATGTTCTCTGAAAGAGTCTCAGGGAGCCTAGGATTCCACTGGACCACACCTAGAAAACAGCTAAATAGATGAACCAGTTTTGGAAGCTGTTTCAGCAAAAAAAGAGATAGTGAAGGCCAGGTGCCAGGAGCTCATGCCTATAATCCTAGCTACTCAGGAGTCTGTGATCTGAGGATCCCAGTTCAAAGCCAGCCTGGGCAGAAAAGTTCATGAGACTCTTATCTCCAGTTAACCACCAGAAAACCGGAAGTGGCACTGTGGCTGAAGTGGTAGAATGCTCACCTTGAGCTGAAGACCTCAGGGACAGTGCCCAAGGCCCAGAGTTCAAGCCTCACAACCGAGAGAGAGAGAGAGAGAGAGAGAGAGAGAGAGAGAGAGAGACATAGTGAAGGATTGTAACAGCAGATCTATCCTGCACAACTACCCCTTTTTTTGTTCAGAGTAGAGTTACAAGGAATAGTTATCGCAATTTGTCCATAGAGATCATAGAAAAGATGAGTAAGACAAGAAAAGGATTTGTGAATTAGAGAGGTAGGAAGTAGAAATTCGTTAGTAAGTTGTTTCAGTTCAGTTTTATAATGATAGCAGACTAGGCTAGGTTGGGTGTTGACATAATGAAAGAACTTCAAGTAGTCAAACCTTAACCTAAGGAGTTAAGGTTGAGCTGGGCAGGCAGAGTGGGTGTGTCAGAGGAAGAGAAACCCCTCTGCCAGCTATCATTTTGCCTTGTTCTACTTCAGGATGGATCCATGCTGTGTTGACCCCTGTGGACTGCCTAGCATTTGGAGGAAACTTCTTACACAGTCTTAACATTGAAATGCAGCTCAAGTGAGTCTTGAACTTGGTTGTTGCTGTCTGCTCCTTGAGAATCCTGATTCTTGATTGTCCTCAGTTTTAGAATTAACATCTTTTTCTTACTTTGTAGTATTGTGACTTTAAGGAAGTCATACAACCCTTGAGCCCAAAATATTCCTAACATATAGAATAAGGTCTCATGAAGTCATTGTTAGGATTTAGAATTAGTGGACATATATATCAGAATAATATCTGATACATAACAGGTGCTTGGTAAATGGATCATTATTATTGTTGTTATGTGTCCGTCTTCCAGAGCCTATGAGATTGAGAAGCGGCTGAGCACAGCAGACCTCTTCAAGTTCCCTAATTTTGAGACCATCTGTTGGTATGTGGGAAAGCACATCCTGGATATCTTTCGAGGTATAAAGCCCTTTACCAGCTGTTACTCCTTTTTCTGAGGGGATGGGAGGGAGAAAGAAAGAGAGCATGAGTGAGCCTTATTATGTGTATCATACATCATGTTGGCAATCCTAGCTATTTAGGAGACAGAAATCAAGGGAATTGTGGATTGAAGCCATCCAGGGCCAAAAAGTTCATGAAAGTCCACCTCAACCAGTGGCTGGATGTGCACTTGTTATCCCAGCTACAGGAGAAGCACAATGAGTGGGTGTAGTGATGTACCTGCTATCCCCAGCAACATGGAGCAGTACAGGTAGGAGGATTATGGCCCAGGCCAGCCTGGATATAAAGCAAGACATTACCTAAAAAATAATGTCAAAAGAGGCTGATGGTGTGATTCAAGTGGTAGAGTACCTGCTTTGCAAGTGCCAGGTTTTGAGTTCAATTACCAGTACCACACACAAAAAACATTGTGCACCTTAAATATATGCAATCAAAAATAAAGAGTTGGGGATGTAGTTCAAGTAGTATAGCTTGCATAAGGCCCTGTGCTCAATTCTTGCTATTAAAAATAGAATAAAATGGAGTAGAATAGCGAATAGAACTGAAAAAATGTAAAATAAAATAATAATTACTACTTTGGGAAGCCTCCCTAGTATTACTCTATTATATCATCACATTTTTCCCCCTGCACCATCCAAAACATGGAAATTGATATCTGTTTTCCATTCCTATAAATTTATCATTTTAAGAATATTATATAGCCTATAATTCTAACTACACAGGCTGAGATCTGAGAATGGCAGTGTAAAACCTGTCCCCGCTGACAAATCCAAGAGAATCTTACCTCCATTTAACCAGCAAAAAGTCAGAACTGGATGTGTGGCATAAGTGATAAAGTACTACTGTTTAACACTAAGTGTGAATGCAAGGTCTTGAGCTCCATTACCAGTGCATAGAAAAAAATGTTTTATAAGTGGACTCATATGGCCTGTTATTTGTTTGTTTATTTATTTACTTATTTATTTATATCGGTTGTGAGGCTTGAACTCTGGGCCTGGGTGCTGTCCTTCAGCTCTTTAGCTCTAGGTGAGTGCTCTACCACTTGAGCCACAGGGTCACTTCCAGTTTTTTTGGTGGCTTATTGGTGAGTTTCACGAACTTTTCTGCACAGGCTGCCTTTGAACTATGATCCTCAGATCTCAGCCTCCCAAGTAGCTAGGATTACAGGCGTGAGCCACTGGCGCTTGGCCCTGTTATTTATTTATTTTTTGGATTTGCTTTTTTATTCAACAGGGCATAGATAAAAACCCTTTTTGTTTAGGAAAGGTAACTGAGAAAATTAGATCACAGTGAAATTATTCCTATTTCTTGCCAGTTAAGGTCAAGAATTAGTTTAAAAGTGTTCTGGATATGCCTCCCAAGGGCATAAGGCTGGGGTACATTATGTTGATTCTTGGGCATTAGCCCAAAGGCAAGCCAATTTACTTAATTGATTTGCTCTGAAATAAAGTGGATCCCCCTGCTTGAACCAAGATTGAGTCCTCAAGGAGACTTGGCCAGAAGGAATCAATATTTTAGGATTTCAAAAGACCTCCTAGACCAGTGAGCACAGTCTCTTCTCGATTCCTCAAGCCCTTGTTCTGACACCTTGTCATATAAGTGTTCAAAGACTAGATGGCTACCTGCCATCCTCTTCTGAACAGATTTGTTCAGTTAAAAATTCTTTATGGAGCCTAAATCCAGTTGTTTATAATAGCATACCTGTGAAGCAAGGTATAGAACATAGCCAGTCCATCATGTATATTAATGGCCCTTCAAATCTGGGTAAGTAGTGTTCATGATCTTTGCTGTCCTTTTGAAACCTAGAGGCAGAGTAATATAAGGAGCCTCTTTCTTGTAGAAGGGAGCTCAGACCCAAATGGATATAAATTCACTCTGTGCTTTAGTGTGTAGCCTTGGTCAAGTGTGTTTTCTCTCTGACTTAGTTCTTGAACTATGAAATGAAGATAATAATACCTGTCTTATAGGGTAGACATAAAAATTAAAGAAGATAATATATACCAAGTCTTATTATTGTAGTAGTTTCCTTATGGTGTATGTGTATGTGTTTGTGTATGTGTGTGTGTGTATGTATGTATGCATGCATGCATGTATATGTGTGTGCACGTGTGTGCTAGTACTAGAACTTGAACTCAGAGCCCGGGCACTGTCCCTGAGCGTCGTTTTCTGCCCTTTTTGGTGGTTACTTGGAGATAAGCTTTTCTCCTGTATGGGCTGGATTTGAACTATGATCCTCAGATCTCAGCCTCCTGAGTAGCTAGGATTACAGGCATGAGCCACTAGTGCTTATCTTTTTTTCTCAATGCTAGCATTCTGCCATTTGAACCACAGCTCCACTCTGGCTTTTTGGTGGTTAATTGGAGATAAGAGTCTCACAGCTTCTTCCCAGGCTGGCTTGGAAACATGATCCCAGATCTCAGCCTCCTGAGTAGTTAGGATTACAGATGTGAGCCACCAGCACACAGCTTGTAGTAGTTTTTCACTACTTCTAAAATAACTGAGATTTGGAATTGTTCTCAAAACCTTGAGCACTTTTTCTGGTTGCCTGACAGAGGTTACAAGTTCTTCATTTCCTGTATTTCTTCATTGACACTCCGCTTTCTTCTTTTCCTCTTTAGGCTTGCGTGAGAATAGGAGACACCCTGCCTCCTACCTGGTCCATGGTGGTAAAGCCCTGAATGTGGCCTTTAGAGCCTGGACAAAGAAAGAAGTAAATATGCTTATTTCTGAACCTCCGCAGATTTCTGCCCTCCATTAGAACTGCTTTGGAGAGACAGAAGAGATCAGAGAGGCTTGAGACTGGTTACAGTAGAAGACTGGCCTAAAAGTCCTTGGATTATGCTTTTAATAAAAACCTTTTTGATTCTAAGAAGTAATGCTCTTGAGAATTAGGAAAATGTAAAAGAATATAAAGAAGGAAAAATGTCATTATTAATTTTAACTATCAGAGGCCACTACCATTATCGGATATATTTTCTTCTGGTCTTTTTTTTTTTTTAATGGAGCTGGTTGCTGTTGGCTCACTCCTGTAATCCTAGTTACTCAGGAGCCTGAGATCTGAGGATCACTGTTTGAAGCCAACCCTGGCAGGAAAGTCTATAAGACTCTTATCTCCTCAGCAAAGGCTGCAAGTGATGCTGTGGTTCAAATGGTAGAGTGCTATCCTTGAGCCAGCTCAGGGACAGTGCCTGAGTTCAGGTCCCAGTCTGGCACTCACAAAAAATGGTGTAGGGGATTGAATGAAAGGTTTTGTGCTTATTAGATAAACACTCTTACACTTGATTCATGACCCTACCTCATTTTGATTTTATTTTGGGGATAGAGTCATGTTTTGAGTAGGCTGTCCTCAGATTATGTAGCTTATGTAACTGGGTTTATAGGCATGTCCCTCCATAATCAGTCTTTTTGCTGAGATGAGATCTTGCTAATATTTTGCCTGGATTGTCCTCCAATTGCAGTCTTCCCATCTCCTAAGCAGAGATTACAGGTGTGAATCCCCCCACATCTGGCACTTTCTTTCTGGTTTATTGTTCTAATGTAATGCTGGGGATGAAACCAGGACCTTGTGTATGCGAGGCAACTATTTTATCACTGACTTACACCTCAGCTCTCATGTACATTTAAAAAATAAAGTTCATATTTCCCAATATATTTTATGTATCTAAATGTATTGACATACCTTTAATTTTCCTGTGTCAACAAAATTCTCCATAAACTTTTAATAGTTACATGATATTCCTTTGCAAGTATGTGCTGTCTTTACTTAATTACTTGCTTATCATTCCCTCCTTAATATTTATTTGGAGGAATGTAGTTATGGAGAATACTACGGTAAATGTCATCTCTTCATTATTCCTTCAAGATAGATTTCTGGAAGATCAAAGTATATGAAAAAAACGTAGTTCTTGATGTGTACTACCAAAATGGCCTTTTATAAATGTACCTGTCTTCATCTATCCAAATGAATACTAAATTATAAAGAGAATAAGAAAGCACTCCCATGTATTAATTTGGAAAGATTCTAGAATTTCTCAAGTAATGGTGTAGAATTTTGTCTGTGTATGCTACCTCATATGTAAATAGTAAGTAAATAAAAATTACATTTGGTTGGGTGTGGTGGTGCACACCTCTAATCCCAAAGGAGGCAGAGATTGGGAGCATCATGGTTTGAGATCAGCCCAGGCAAAAAGTTAAGTGAGGTTCAATCTCAACAAATAAGCCAAGTGTATGGGAGGAATAGTTGGAAAGATTGCATTTCACATCAGTCTAGGCAAAAAGAACAACACTCTGTCTAAAAAATAAGCAAAAATGTACTAGTGGTGTGGCTCAAAAAAAGAAAAAGCACAAGTAGCAGATACCTCCCATGGTTTTATCAAGTTAACTGTTATCCTATAGCTGTTCTCACAAGTGGAGTATCTGGCTTGTCCCCATTGAGCTTCCTGCAGTCGTTGACTTCATGAAGTGTGTGAACTGAGTCTGTAACCGAGTTCCTCACACATCTCATAATATACTGTCCTTTATAGGATGTATGTTTTGTACATATTTTTCTCTTAATCTGTGGCTTGTGTAAACGCAGAGGTTTTTCAGAAATAAGTTTATCTGTGGTAAGTCTAGTTTATCATTTTTTGGTTTATTTTTGGGCTCATGTATCTTTATATCCTGTATCAAAAATCACAAAGATTTTCTACTCCGTTCTAAAAAGTTTATAGTTTTAGGTTTTATATTTATATCTGATCTGTGTGTGTGTGTGTGTGTGTGTGTGTGTGTGTGTGTGTGTGTGTATTTTAAAAAATAGATTTGTGGGTGTTTTTTTTTGTGTATTTTTTGTTTGTTTGCTCATGGATATCCAGTAACATCTGTGGGAAGGATTACCCTTATTTATTAGTTTGTCAAAGTCAGTTGTGTGCTTCTATTTCTTATACTGCTTTTTAACAGGCTCTGCCAGACCACGAGGATGAGATCCCGGAGACAGTACGGACCATACAACTCATTAAAGATCTGGCTAGGGAGATCCGCCTGGTTGAAGTAAGAAGCATGGGAGAAGGGAAGGCATTTGGGAAGGGCATGAGGCCTGTGTGTCAGATCAGGCCTTTTTAGTTGGCATAGAGCCCAGAGCAAGGGTTGGGAAGACCCTACCGATTACCTTCCTCATTCCTTTAGTGATTAATTCAAATAATAATTACATTCTGTAAGTGTGTGGCATACATTGGAGTAGATTTTCAGGATACATAAATGGTACCATGTTTCCCCACTAAGAACTCAAAATTTTGTAAAGAACTCTGAACAAAATTAACCTTTCATGTTATATTTTGATCATCTCTAAAATGAGACTAATGGTACCTGCTCAAAGTTGTTAAAAGGATTAAATAAAGTAATGGAGCTGGAGTATAAAGTATAGTACTTGGCACGTAGTAGTTGGTCAATAAATTTTGATGGTGGTGGTGGGTAGTGATAGTAATTATAGTTGTTGTTGCTGATATTTTGACTCAGTCTCTGCATTCTACAAAAATGACAGTTCTCTCACATTGAAGATGATTACAAAGCCCTGTCTCAACAGGAAGGCAGTAAGGTATAGTGGTAAGAGACTCAGAAACCTGGGTTCTGAGTCCTGCTCTTTCACTTGAAAGCCTTTCAGAGCCTCAATTTCCTCATCTACAAAGTGGGGACCAACTTTATCCACATTTCAGACATTTGGTAAGATTAAGGGTTAATATATGTAGAGCCCCTGGAACAGTGCCTGGCAGAGTAATTACTCAATAAATGTGAGATAACATCAATAGCCTTTTTTTTTTTAGCAAAATGAGAAATCAGCGTGGGCTGGTAAAGTAGCAGAGGCACCAGAGGAGAATTAGACTTGAGAATGTTTAAACTTTTAAACTCAGGACCTGTAAAGTTCTTTATTGCCCAGGGGTTTACATCCGCTGAAGGCTAATCAAGTAAGCTGCAAGATGGGCTTCTAGCTTCACTTCATGCAGTATGTTTCACTGTCTACACCATAGCTTCCAGTGTCCCGTCTCCCTCCCCCCACCCCCGCCCCACCACTTCATTTTCCTCCATTCCTTCAAAATTTAGTTCATGGCTTATCTTTTTCCTGCTTTTCAGTCTTACACACCCATACCTTTGGGCTGATTAGAAAGAACTTAGACATAGAACATACCTGGTCCATTTGCTTTCAGATGTTTTAAAGCAATGGAGTTCTTTTCAAATAAGATCTTATATCGAAGCCTAACTTACAAAACAAATCAAGCCAAGCTACTTTGAATAGGATGAAGGTGGAAGGCCTGGGGTTCCACTCATTCCTCTCATCTGCCTTCCCATCTACCTTTAATTCCCAAGGCTTTGTCCAAGAAGCTGCACAGAACATCTTTGAAAACTACCTTTCCAGTCTAGATCTTTAATTTTACATTTGACCAAACAAGCTCAGAGTAGTCAGATAACTTTTCTGAGCTAGCTAGTAGCAACATTAGTACTAAAACCTCTCCACTCTCAAATCCTGTAGTCAGAATTTGTACCATGCAGTCTAGTGCTTATTTTCTGTTTTATGTCAGCTAGTCTTAGGAGTCTTTTTTTCCTTGGTCCTGGGGCTTAAACTCAGTGCCTGGGTACTGTCCTTGAGTGTTTTTGCTCAAAGCTAGCCCTCTACAACTTGAGCTACAGCTCCACTTCTGGCTTTTTTGAGTGGTTAATTGGAGATGAGTCCCATGGATTTTCCTGCCCAGGCTGGATTCACACTATAATCCTCAGATCTCAGCCTCCTGAGTAGGATTACAGGTGCAAACCACCAGTGCTGTCTTTTCTCTCCAGTTTGACAGCAGTGTCTTCCTTTGCTCATCTTCTCCTTACTTATCAATGGCTGGGTAAAGAAAAGCCATCCAGTAAATTCTTGATGACTCACTGTGAAAAGATTGGAGTGTGCATTTGTGGAGCATCTATATGAGCTACTTCCATGGCAGTAATGCCACTTCTGGGAACAGACCTCTGCTCTTAGCATAGAGGGAACTCTTGAGTTAAGCTCTAACCCCCTCGTGTACTACCATTCTTGTAGGATATCTTCCAACAGAACGTTGGGAAGACGAAAAATATCTTTGAGCTGCAGAGGATCTTCCCAGCTGGCTCCATTCCCTTAACCAGGCCAGCCCATTCCACATCAGTATCCATGTCCAGGCTGTCACTGCCTTCCAAAGGTGGTTCAAAGAAGAAAGGCCTGAAGCCCAAGGAAATCTTCAAGAAGGCAGAGCGAAAGGGCAAGGAGAGTTCAGCCTTGGGGCCTGCTGGTCAGTTGAGCTATAATCTCATGGACCCATACAATCATCAGTCACTGAAGACAGGCTCTTCCCAGAAAGCAAAGGTGGGTGCTGGCCAATGAGTTCAGCCCAATCCTTTTGGGTCCCTTGGAAGAGCAAAGTTTCAAAAGGGCAGGTTACCCTGTCTTGTTCCTACCTCCCTTAGGGCCCCTGGTATTTGGCTACCAGTCCCACTCATTTAACAGGCATTTATTGAGACCTTTTCTATGCTGGGCACTGTGATAGGTGCTGTGAATGTTAACTCAAGAGGCTGATAGGCTAGTGAGAAAGATAGGAACAACAACAAATAAATGCAATGAAGTGTTGTGGGTGCCACAATCAAGGGTATGTGTGGAACCCTGGGACACAGGGGATTGATTCTTTCTGGGTAAGGGAGATGATCAGGAGCTCTTCTGAATTACATAACACTTGAGCTGACTTTTGACATGTTAGGATAGGAATGAGGCTTGAAAGATTAGAGTCTTAAACAGATCCCTAAAAGAAAAGCCACCCCCACCACCAAGTCTCTACCTTGATTTGTGTCCCTTCTATGGGAATATAATGATGATGCCTCTCCTTTACTTAGAGAACATGTTTCACAAGATAAGTTTCCCCTGAGGCAGTCATATGTTTTCAACCTCCAGCTCCTGTGTTTGTTGGGGGTAGAAATTGTAAGGGAAGTATGATCAGGGGCTTTTGACAGTTTTGCAGTAAAATGAGAGGTAACTGGCGTTCTTGATTGACCTGGAAGTCCCAGACTGGTGACAACTGAGCCTCCTCCTTCCACAGTTGAACATCACTGGTGCCTGCTTGAATGACTCAGATGATGACTCACCAGATATCGACGTTGAAGGGACTGAGAACCCGCTGTCCCTGTTAATGGCTAATGGCAGGTAAGGTGGAAAGATGAAGCACAAAGATAACAGGGATCGTTAGTGGCAGTGTGCCACTAAAACTGGGTGGAACTGGGAGCTAGGTATTGGGATGTGGTTGGGTGAGGTGCTGTACTTAGGACAATACCCAAATAGTATTAGATGTCAATTCTGAATTAGAATCATGGTGGGTGGTAGAAAAGAGGTCTGGAATCTAATTGGCATTGGTGAGAAAGATCTTGTGTAATTTCTAGAATTTAAGCAAATCAATGAGGCACAACTATTGGAGGAGATACAGTTGTGTAGTATATTGGTTAGGAACAGTTTTTGGTATACCTTTTGACTTAGGATTTATTGCTTACAAATTTATTTTACATAAATTTTAGCACAGATATGTAAAAGAAATGTTCAGTTCTTATTGCATCATTGTAATAGTAAGTCACTTGAATGATCCAAATTTTTATCACTAGAGATTAAATTATGATACATCTTTAGAATTCAATACCATGTACCTGTTAAATAGAATGGATCTGTTTAAATATCTGTTGACACAGAAAGATGTCTAAAATAAGTATTTTTTTCTTTGAGATGAGGTTTGTTATATTATCCAGGATGGCCTTGAACTCCTTGGCTCAAGATGCCTCTATTTCAGCCTCCTGACTAGTTGGCACTACAAGCATGCACCATTATGCTTGGCTTCAAAGACAGATTTTTTTTTTGGTCTTGGGGCTTGAACTCTGGGTGCTGTTCCTCAGCTCTTTGACTCAAGGTTAGAGCTCTACCACTTGAGCCACAGCACCACTTCCTGTTTTCTGAGTGTTTTATTGGAAATAAGAGTTTCACGGACTTTCCTGCCCAGGCTGGCTTTGAATCATGATCCTCAAATCTCAGCCTCCTGAGTAGCTAGGATTATAGGAATGAGCTACTGGGGCCCAGCAAGACAGATTCTTTATTTCCCCCTTCATGTTAGTATTTTTAATTTTTTTTGGGGGGGTCCAGTTGTGGGGCCTGAACTCTGGGCCTGGGAGCTGTCCCTCAGCTCTTCAGCTCAAGGCTAGCACTCTACCACTTGAGCCACAGCTCCACTTCAGGCTTTTTTCTTTTTGCTTATGTGGTGAAGAGGAATCGAACCCAGGACTTCATGCATGCAAGGCAAGCGCTCTACCACTGAGCCACCTTCCCAGCCCCAGTATTTTTAATGTTATATATGTTAAATCATAACAAAAAGACAACAAGAACAATATGCAGTCCTTAGATTCTTTTTTGTATTTTGCAGTTCTAGAAATTGAACCCAGTGTCTTACACATGTGTCTTGTGTCTTACATAAACTCCTATCATTGTTATACAATGATCAGTGATAACTTTGATCTATACTGATATACATATATGCATGTAAATATATAATACAAAAATTATACACATGTATGTATATATATACACATACTTGGGTGTAATTTATTTTTACTTGTACCTTGCTCTTATTAGGTAAATGCCCTTTTTCTTCAGCCATACCCCTAGCCATTTTTTGCTTTATGTATTTGCTTTAGATTTTGTGTTTTTATTGCCTCAGATGACTGTCCTACAAATGCTTAGAATTGCAAGTTTCTGCCACCATGCCAGTGTGGTGGTTGAGATGTGATCGTGTTAGCATTTTTGTTTGGGCTGCCCCTGGAACTGTGACTGTGATTACATGCATACACAACCATACCCGACCCAGGCTGGATTCATTTTGTGGGATGGTGGTAGAGCACAGGAGTTTGAACTGCCTTGTAGTTGGTAGGAAGACATTCCCCCTCTGAGCATTTTTATTTTGCATTGATTATTTTGAAAATAGAGTCTTATTTCCTGGTAGTTCACTTCTGAACTTCAATCCTAGACTTACTTCAGTCTAACCATTGTAGCCAAGACATATGCATACCACAATCCTTTCTATTACAATCTCTCAGGTAGGATTTCAGATGTGAGTCAACAACATTTGCTTCTAAGATACACTGTTTCCCCCTGTGCTGGTCCTGGGTCTTGAACTCAAGGCCTTGGTATTGTTCCTGAGATTTTTTTTCCTCAAGGCTAGTGCTTTACCACTTGAGCCACAGCTCCACTCTGGCTTTTTTGGTAGTTAATTGGAGATAAGTCTCACAGACTTTCCAGCCCAGGCTGACTTTGAACTGCAGTACTCAGGCCTTAACCTTCTGTAGCTAGGATTATAGGCGTGAGCCACCAGTACCAGGTTCCAAGTTGCCTGCCTGCCTGCCTGCCTGCCTGCCTGCCTGCCTGCCTGCCTGCCTGCCTGCCTGCCTCCTTCCTTCCTTCCTTCCTTCCTTCCTTCCTATCTACCTACCTACCTTCCTTCCTTCCTTCCTTTTCTGTCGTGGGTCTTGAATTCTGCGCCTGGGTGCTGTCCCTCAGCTCTTCAGCTCAAGGCTAGCACTCTACCACTTCAGCCATAGTGCTACTTCTGGTTTTCTGGTGGTTAATTGGAGATGAATCTCATGGACTTTCCTGCCCAGGCTGGCTTTGAACCATGATTCTCAGATCTCAGGAGGTTGAGGATTACAGACGTGAGCCTGTAATATAGCCCCAAGCTATATTCTTAAGTCAAACAAATGAGGTTACAAACTAGTATATAGAAATAATTCCATACTTATCTTTTCAAAAGGAATATTTACATACATATGCATAAGAGCACTATGTAGACTTTATTTCTGTTTTTAATTTTTAGAAGTGTATACAAAATTAAAAAATTTTAAAACTCTTTCAAGAGCACATAGTAAAAAAAATTCTGTTTCCATCTCTTCCCTATTTTCCCCATAGACAATGAATTTCATTGACTTTTTCTAAAAATATTTATATGCATTCAAGCAAGTAAGTATATTAACATTTTATACTATTCACAGAAAAATTTTAACCGCGACTATCTCTGGAAAGTAGGATAAAGGAAAGTGATAAAAAATTTTCACTTTAGGGCTGGGAAGATGGCTCAGTGGTAGAGTGCTTGCCTTGCATGCCTGAGGCCCTGGGTTCGATTCCTCAGCACCACATAAGCAAAAAGAAAAAAGCTGGAAGTGGCGCTG